CACCCCCCCACTCCCCACTCCCTGAATGCTGGCCCCACTCTCCTGGCCCCAGCCACAGAACTCAGTCCCCACTCCTCTGGCCCCAGCTACAGAACTCTGTCCCCACTCCCGTCCCCACTGGCACTCTGTCCCCTGCTGCAGAACCCTGTCCTCTGCCCTCTCAGCACCCTGTTCCCTCTCCCCTGTTCCCAGCCGCAGAACTCTGTCCCCACAAAATGTATAATTATAAATGCTTCATTTTAGATTTAAATATCATGAATAAAAAACAGACCATTTATTTCATAACTATAAACACGTGATTTTAATTTTATGTATCGCATAATTTAAAAATAAACTGTTTATCAGAGTGTGTAAGTAAGGGCTGAGGATAGCAAGCGATGGACAGGAGGAGAATAGAGAGGGCGGGGCTTCGAGGAAAGGGCGGGGCTTCAAGGAAGGGGTGAGGCGGTAGATCTTCGCCTGTTCTGAGATTTAAAAAGTGATCTTGGGTGTAAAAAGGTTGGAGACCACTGCTCTAGCACGACGTAGTAGTGAGCACTGAAATTTATACTCCTCCACCATCCACTTGTGTATTGTGTAGACAAGCTCTTGGGTTTAAAGAAACTCTGTTGAGCCCATAGAAATCTGCATTTCACAGCAGACACAGGGCTCAGTATTTGGCTTCATGTGGAAGTCAATTTACATAGAGGCATTCTAATTCTGTGCAATTCACGGAAAGGCAGCATCCTTCGTTCCCGTCTGATGCTGGGCGGGCTGACAGGATAGATCATGTGGTAATTGCCCTGTTCTGTTCATTCCCTTTGAGCCATCTGGCATTGGCCCATCGGATGAAACGCTGCTCTGACCCAGCGTGGCCGTTCTTGTTTTCTCTCATCCAGGTACTAATGGAGACTCTTGGTGCCTTGGGTGCTCAATGCCGATGGGCTGCATGCAACATCTACTCTACTCTCAATGAAGTGGCTGCCGCCCTGGCGGAGAGTGGTAAGGGATTTTATCCCCTTCTGTGTGCTTTCGAGAGACTCCTGTCAGCTTTTCACTATTAATACTTTTAAAAGAGGACACCGTGCAAGCGTATTATGTTCTTTTTCAAATAACTTCCCCCTCAGCGTACAATAACCCCTTTGCAGCTTGAAATCTCTAGTGTTTCTTTCTTTGCTCAGCCTTCTTCTCAGTCCACACTCTGTTCTGCTCCCCAAATCCCTATCCCCAAGCTCCTTTTGTCACCCTCTTGGTAGAAATGTGGCACTTGAGCACTTGCCAAAATGGAGCGCCCCCTCCATGAAAAATTATTGCCCACCTCTTGGGTAGAACAACAATGAACAGATCTAGCGAGAGGGTCCGAACTCTTCGCTTGATGACTTTTTGAAAGGCCCTTTCAGTAAAGCTCATTCCTGCCGGTGGTACCATGTAAGCACCTCCACAACTGGTGGCAAGAACCAGACCTCCATCCCAGCTAGTGCTGCTTCCAGCCAGAGTCTGTCAGTATGGGTGCTCTCACGGTAACGGGTAGCCGTGCATCACCCTGACCATCCCACCTTTGCCCGGCTAGTGGAGCACTCGGGCGACACTTTCATAGATCACATTAGCATTGAACTTCCTTCCTGTCTCTGTCAGGTTTTCCTGTCTTTGCCTGGAAGGGGGAATCTGAAGATGACTTCTGGTGGTGTATCGATCGCTGTGTCAACGTCGAGGGATGGCAACCTAACATGGTGGGTCTCAAACATGGTAGGATCTAAAATATCTGGCACATGTAGTAGCAGTTAGAAAGGCGGATGTTCCCGCTATAGTCTAGAGAGACTAAGGGTGGAATAGGGTTCACAAAAGGTTTGGAATTATTAAAATTGTGTTCCCTATTAAATCCCGAATGTAGCGTTCTATCTGTCATCAACCACTTATTATACTGCTTGCCACCTACATAACACTTATCTTCAGAGTGCTTTACAATTCTGAACTGATCCTCACAACATGGGGAACGAACTCATCACTGTCTGACACGTAGGGAATTGGAGAAGGTGGTTGAAATGCTTGCAAGAGACTTTGCACAGAGCCATTCCAATTCTTATCCATACAAGAAGATAGCACTAGTTTTACTTAGGTCAGTTTTTAAACCAGTGTCGCTGAACTGGTGCAAAGCCCTGTGTAAATGCTCTTAGTTCAGTTTGAGCAGTTTATTTCACTCTAACTTTTAAACCTGTTCCTAAAGCTGCAGAAAAACACTCAAAGCCAAATAAGCGTCCACACTAGGTTGTCAATGTATAGTCGACTATATGATTAACCGATAAGCCTCGGCGATGGTACTGTAGGGGTTCCACAGAAAGTTTAAAATAGAAACTAAAACAAACGTATGGAGCCTCTCGCAGCCAGCACGTCCTTCAACCTGCATTGCTTTCCTCAGCTTGGGAAGCCGCGCAGGCTGAGGGACATACTGGTTGTCAGCATGGAGCCTCTCAGTTCCCATGGCTGGGAGCTGGGAGGCTGTGTGCCTGCAGCCAGCAAGTCCCTCAGCCCGCGCTGCTTCCCGAGCGAGCTGAGGGACGTGGCTCAGGAAGCAGCGTGGGATGAGTGGCACACAGGCTGCAGGCACAGCTATATTGCTCAGGGGGTCTGTAACGTTTTAATAGATTGAGAAGGGGTCCATATGCTTGAGGTTCGGCACCACTGAACTACACACATTTCCCTCCCCCCCGCTTGCTGCCTCTGTAATAGAGGCAGGAGGCAAGGTGGCGGGAGGAGCTGGCTTAAAAGGTAAGCGGGGCAGGCTGGAGCTGATAAGCGTGCAGAGGTGAGGGGGCAGGCAGGAGCTGTGCCGGGGGTACCTGACTTAAAAGCTGGTTTCCCCCCATCACCAGATCCGCAGTGCCATCTGCCCCTCCCCCTGCATTGCTGCCTGTATCAGAGGAGGCTGCCTCAAAGCAGACTCTGCCTGCAGCGGGCCCGAGCTCCCTGCAGACCGAGGCTGCTCCGCATCCCACAGAGCAGCCTCTGTCCATGGCGAGCCGGGGCCCATTGCAGACAGAGGCTGCTTCGCAGCAGCTCCCCACACACAAAGGCTTCTCTGTATCCCACTGAGCAGCCTCTGTCTGTGGGGTACTCGGAGCCCCCACAGACAGGAGCTGCTCCCATGCCGCACTGCTGCCCCTGTATCAGGCAGGGTGGCAAGCAACTGGTCTGCGCAGGGCACTTGTTTTTAAACTGGCTCCCCTCGTGGACCAGCTCTGCCTGCCACTCTGCGCTGCTTCTTCTGATACAGAGGCAGCAGCGTGGGGGGGCAGGAGGCTTCCGGGGAGGGGGGCTGGGAGCACACTGGCTGCTGGCCCCACCCAGGGACTATCGAATAGTTGTGTAACCGCTTAGATTTCATTGTACACGACTGTTCAGTTACATGATATCTAATATCCCTAGCCCACAAAGCAATTTGCATCAGCTTAAATAGATCATCTTAAATTCACACCTTAGGTTCTGCCCGTGCAACTTTTCCATGTGGGCTTTGTCTACACTTCTCTGTCTAAAGTGCCGCTGTGGCTTTAACACAGAAGTGTGTGCAGGGCTATTCCAGCACTGTAGGTAAACCAGCTCCATAAGGGGAGTGGCTATCAGTACAGGTAGGGCTGCTTCCAGCTCTGGGAGCCTCTTTCCACTGGTGTTTTACAGCACTTTGACTTGCTGTGTTCAGGTGTTGTGTGTTTCACACTCTTGAGCAAGAAAGTTACAGTGCAGAAAAGTGGCAGTGCAGACAAGCCTTAAGACAAAGCCTCAATTTTAGAGCCAGGATTAGGACTCCAGAGACCTTGAGAACTAGTCCTGATCTCATTATATCATACTGCAAAAGAGTTAGACGTGTAGCTCCTTGCTTTAATGGCTTGTGACCACCTTGCTCATAGAGCCCGGAGCTTGGGACTTGGCAAATGGAATAGTTTTCAGTTCTCTCTTGTTTTTTTCCTGCAACACTTGAGAGTTGTCCTTTGTGCTGGTGCTTGCATGCCTAAAGGATGGTGGATATTGGGATGTATTTCTATTGCTTCCGTTTCCTCATATTGAATTATTTGGGATGTGTTAAATAAAATGTGTATTTAAAGAAAGAAAACTATCCCCTGCAGAAGGTTTGAGGAATATTCAGATAATCCATCCCTGTATCCATAAATCTGCATATGGAAAATTCAGTCGAAGAACTGATAAACAGCTTATGTTGGAGAATGAGCTCTCATCAGTAGTGACGCTGAGTTGGTGGTGATGGAGAGATCAAAACCCTGCCTACATCTGGCACGTTTGTGCTGTGATAGTCTGACTCGTCATCTGGGTTCTGTGAAATGTGCTAGGATGACTGGGGTCTTCTCAGAATTCCTTTTTTGAGGATAGCATTGGGGATCTGTGGAGCTCTTTCATGTGGTCCATAGAACAGACCATTCTGCATGGGGTTCAAAGACAGGTCTTGTAAAGATAGAGGGGCTAGGTTGAAGCTCCTCTTAGTAGGGACGTGAACGACTAGTCGCTTCCCCCCTCCTTGCTGCCTCTATCAGAAAGAGGCAGCAAGGTGGGGGAAAAGTGGGGGGTGCCTGAAAGCAGCATGCAGCCCGGGGCTGACGGGGGAATCCTCCTCTGGCCCCCCCCTTCCAGCAGTGCTTTTGCCTTTGAAATGTAGCAGCAGCTTTGAGGCTGTTGCTACATTTCAAAGGCGGAGGTGCCCTTATCGGCTAATCTAATAGTCTATGCAAATTGCATCGACTATTCGATTAGCCAATTAATCTAAATTTAACATCCCTACCTCTTAGTAGAACACTCCCTAACTCCATTGGGGTCTGCTTCCTCCTTCCCCACCATGTGTCAGCCTCTCCCTCATGCTGCTCCAGTGGTACCCAGAACCTTGCAGGTAGTTCCAGAGATAAAGTCCTCTAAAAGGAAGACGTTCCTCTCACCTACCCAGCTCTAGAAAGAGGGTAGGTTACCTTACAAAGCTGATTCTTGGGGGACTTCACATCCCAGAATGGGACTGCAACATGGCCTTTCATTCACGCTTACGCCATGCGCTACGTAATCTTACCTCCTTCAAGGGCTGACACTATCTTTGGTGATGTCATCCTTTGAGCTGCCTGGGATTTATCTCCTCAGCACCCTCCTCCGCTCTTAGGGTATGTCTAGACATGCCTCTGCCGACAGAGGCATGTAAATTAGACATACCGACATAGTCAATGAAGCGGGGATTGAAATATCCCCCTCATCATTAAAATAAAAATGGCCACTGCGCTGTGCTGGCTCACAATGCGGCAGTCAGGACGCGGATCGGTCGACAGGGAAAGCCGTTGTCGACCCATCCTGTAAACCTCGTTTCACGAGGCATAAGGGATCGGTCGACAACGGCTTAGGTTATCGACTTAGGGAAAGCCATTGTTGGCCGATCCCTTATGCCTCGATCCTGTAAACCTCGTTTCACGAGGCATAAGGGATCGGCTGTCAATGGCTTTCCCCGCTTCATTGACTATGTCATGTAGTCTAATCTACCTGCCTCTTTCAGCAGAGGCATGTAGTCTAGTTGTACCCTTAGAGTGAAGGGTACAACATAAGGACAGATGTTGGCAGAAGGAAAGGTTACTTGCACAGTAACTTAAGTTCTTTGAGATGTTTTGTCTCTATGGGCACCCCACCTCCAAGGAATTGGAGCGGCTGCAGGTCTGCACCTCCTTCTGTGTCCTGACGTGGGCGCATGAGACGCTGCCTGGTGAGAGTGTGCAGCCATGGGCACTGCTATTCACAGTCTCCAGCCAAGAGTGGCTCTGTTCTGTGCATGAAGCAAAGTGAAATAAGTTATCTGGGGACAGGGCTGTGAAGGGGAAATAGCTGCGAAACAGGAAGGATCCGGCAAACTGATCTGGGGGGGGATTTGAGAATTACTATTTTAAAAAGAACCTTATAGTCTGACTAGCAGCTGCAGTGAGAGACTGTCGAGATTCCAGGTTTGCATTGTTGGAGGAATAACGTACAAATCAAAGGAGAAGGTATTTCTGTGCAGAGGGTGGATGATATCTCTTCTGGGATAATAGACACAGCAGGTGTGTGCCAGAGGATATAAATGTCCCTTTTGAGGAGAGTGCAGAGTGAAAATGCAATTTTGTTTCTGTTACCATGTTTTGGCCCCTCAGAGTTCTCTGAACCAAGCTGCATGCAGTAAAACCAGTAGGTGATTGATACAATGCAGTTATACTAGCACTCTGGGCTAACAAAAAGTCTGACTGCAAGTAGCAACAGAAAGGCAAGGTAGGGCTAATGTTCGGAGAGGCTGATTTGATGAAAAAATGTCCCTAGCTTGGTCATGCAGGTGAAGATTGGTTTCCTAAAATAACTGGAAAGGTTCTAAAGAAAGATCCTTATCAATCGGGTGTATGAGGAAACTAATGGAAAATGAGCAGGTGGTCATCTGCTGACGTGTTCCGGGAACTCGTTCTCAAACCTTAATTTTCAGAGGGGTAGCTGAGTTAGTCTGTAGCTGGAAAAACTTAAAAAACAACAAACAGTCCTGCAGCACCTTAAAGACTAACAAAACATGTAGATGGTATCATGAGCTTTCGTGGGCACAGCCCACTTCTTCAGATGACTGGAGTATTAGAAGTCCAGATCCAAGAATAAATAAGGGAAGTGGGGGGGGGTGAAAAGGAGGGGAGAAAAAGGGAAAAACATGGAAAAAATAGTGAATTAGATTGTTCAAGTTATTTATTCT